CCACAGCGCAGTGGACGTAGGACAGTAACTTGCGCGTGACCTAGTCCAGTGGGACAGAACTTGTGCAGCCTCTGCCGCACTGTTAAATCCTCCTGAGCCCAGCGGCAGGACAGGGGCGTAGCATCAAGCATCTAACTCAATGGTTAAAGCATCGGACTTCTAATACGTAGGTTGCGCGTTCGAATCTCGGGTGGGGCACCACTTAGGGTTGGGTATGACTGGCAAATGAACAAAAAAATGGCTTCCTTGTCTTTGCCGGCAATGTTCATCGGCCTGTAAAGCTGGTCGCTGGCGAGGCTCGAACGCAAGCCCTGGCCGAGTTCTGCACCCGATCAGTGAAGTTTCTCAATTTGTTTTAAAGTTGAATAGCCTGAGCGTAACTTAGGCTCTTAATCACAAACATACTACGCTGGGAAAACTAATAGTCTGTATAACCCTCAAACTGGACTTGCTGTTATTCTGAAAGTCCGGAGCAATGTCAGGCTTAAGTTTGAACTACGTTCCTGCGCTTGAGTTTTCATGTGGACATAAGGTGTTTTTTTTAGTGCTCCTTATTCAAACACAGACTTGGTCGGTTTGGACTGCGTAAAATGCCGAGGTAATCTGCCATAACAAGGTTAAGGATGGGATACCAGTATGCTTGGCTCTATAGAGTTCGTGAACATATCAAATGTCCATTCTTCTAATACATAAGTGTTGTTAACAGAATCCTCGTCCACTCTAGCCAGGTACCAGTAGAAAAGCAGCGATTAAAAATTGATCTGTTAAAGTTTCATTGAAACGGATTTATGCCAGATTCGTTCTTTACTGTAGCGAAAGTCATAACAAGCTCTAGACTGTCAGCTACATTTTTGAGAGACGCCACCGCCATATTTATTGGCCCGCAGAAAAATTAAGTGCAGTCAACACTCGCCATGGTACCCTATACCAGTGACAGTACTAGTGATGCTCACAGGTGGTCACGTGCATGTGAGCAGACCGCTTCTTAACTGACTTGGTATTTTGTAAGCATGCACCAGGTGATGGTAGGCAATTCAATCAATTAGCTGTCGGTAAGTTGACAGCGGTGCACTATGGAAGTCAGATAGGTAATTTGGATGTAAACCACGAAGGTTTTAGCTGCCTGTAAACTTGCCAGCACAACTGAGGACCTGAACTTATTGAATACAGACTAATTAATTTTGTCCTTGTCCAGACGGCTGAGCTCCTTAAGCCTTGAAACGTACGTCAACCGGGATGTCCATAAAAACAATTTCTAGAAGCAAAAATGGGACGGACTTCTGAATCTTCAAACACGGTTTTTTTAGATCAATAAGTGAAAAGGAGGAGGTGTAATAAATCAGCAGTCAAGAGCAATAAGTCAGCGCGGGAAATGTGATTGATAATCACGGGGGAATCTGGTCCAGAGGCATCGTAGGCTCAGAAATATGACAGAAATATGGGGGATCGAGGGACATTGGTGGCCTACGTTTAGAACACAATAAGTGACCCACTGATGAGGCCAATTCCGGTCTTCACCTCGAGAAAGACCACTCAAAAATGAGTGGAGAATAAGCACTATACTTACACCAGCGACAACTGTAACAGCCGGTATTTATTATTGAACGTCAGTGTTTGCCAGTACACTACGATGTAAGGATTTACCTCGGATGCAATGGAGTGTTTCAAGATAGTGGTCAGAAAAAAGAAATCACAGCCGAAATAGCAAAATATCACTCCGAAGACAAGGGAAAGAGAGGAAGTACTATTAGCTCGCGAGGGGGGAGGAAGGGTTGAGCGAGCAGCCAACAGTATCGCCTCCAAAGGCACATGTGGTGTTTTCATAAACTTCGATCGTTGTGTGAAACAAGGAATGTACAAACCTCAGTTAGACAGCCCTGTATACTTGGCTGACTCTGAATAAACGTGCCAAAGAAAGACAATTATGGCAGTGAAGCGATCCCTGTATCGGGCTATCAGCTGACGAACTGTGACGTGACCGACTTTGAGCGGCTATTTGCAATTTGTGGGTTCTGCCGAGCCGGTCTGGGGATTCGTGTTCCCTGTGCTCGCATCCGAGCTACAGAGGGACGCCGAATTTGTGTGGCCTCCGCAGAAGGATGTGTGAGTGCTTCGGGGGTTAGCGGTACTGTCGTTGGTGGAGCCTCCTCCACTTTTCCACCCGAAGCTTGTTTCTGCAGTCGGCGTTGAGGAGGATTACATTTTAGCCCAGACGAGGTACCTCCAGTACTAAGCTTACGACTGGACGCCGATGCCGTCGCTCTAATACTCAAATTAGACATCGACTTTGCGCGTGAGGCCGTCGGTGCAATGGTTTCGGCAGCCCCTGCGTTAGCCCTCCCGGTCCTCTGCGGTGTGCGATAGAGCCTTGTGAAGACATTCGGTTCCGTCTTTTGTACGGCTGAAACCGTCTTGGTGACCGTCTTTGGTATCGAGTCAGTCGATCGGGCTTGTGTGAGGTCACTTGTGGACTGAGTACGTCTGGCATCTGCCTTACGATTGCTCAGGTTACGATATCGATCATTGGCAGCGGTAGATTTGCTGGAGTTGCTTATGGAAGAGTTAGAGTGCTGGAGAGAAGAAGTGGAAACTGAGGAGGCCTTGCCCAGCCTGTTCCCTGGTGCAACTTTATTCTCTTTTGATGCAGCACTTAACTGGCGAGTCACGCTGGTTCGAGAGGTGATGTTGGAGGGCACGTGGCTCTTTACGGACTGAGTATGTCGAACATAATGGCCGGAAGCAGGCGCAAGATGAGTCTTAGCCGGTGTAGATGACTGCCTATTCAAATGATCTTTTTTGGGTGCAGTCTCGGCCACCTGACTATTTGTCTCGAGCTTTTCTTCTGGTTGCTTCTGTTAAAAAAGGAATGAAAAAGAGAAGTAAAAATGGACGAAAGTGTCTTTTGACCAAAAACATGCCTTGAAAAAAAAATGTTCAAGACCGAACCACGAAATATCTCAGCTTGGACTGCATACAACGTAGCTTCGGGGCTTATTAATTCTGCAAATAAAAGCCGGATAGAAATTCGCATTTCAATTGCCCATGATGACCAATATTTAACGAAAACCGGCGTTGACTTCGCCGTCACATTCATTTCCATTTTCTGTAACAGATACTAGAACTAGACAATGCTCCGGCATAATTCCTCATCATGGTCCAAACCTTACATCGCTCCATAACTCCGCCCTCCATCCCTCCTAATCCCTCGACAAAGTTTATTATGTCGCCTGTCCTGTTAATTTACGAAATTAACTTGATATTCTGAAAGTCTCAACACGCTTCTGAAGATGACAAATTTACACGAGACCACCAGCGCTGAGTGACCTCGGATACCAGCTAGCATCCTCAAATACTAAGTAGGTGTAGGATTTTTCAAGTTACTTTCCCCTAGGAAGTAACTTGAAGAGTTATGTCCTTTTTAATACCTATACATGAAGACGATATCAAATAAAAAGACTGAGGAGGACATCTTTTCCAGAATCAGTACTGCTTTCAGGGTTTGCAAAATCTTCAGAAAAATATTTACACCCAAATTGCTATCTCTGTGGCCACAAACAGCCAGACATCCGCCTGGCCAACACTAATATCGGGCTGTGAATGCTGTGCTAGGCCCTTTGATATTTAGCAAAGACTGGGGTGCTTGGCCATGGCTACCTGACAGTTTTTTTTAGTTTAACGGTCCGCACTCGCTGAGACAATTCCACAGATCATTCAAGAAAGACGACTGACAAAGCTTTCGCACATTTCCATTGTCAGTCCCAATTTAGCGCCACTGGAATAGAGGTGGTGAAAAGAAGGTCAACTGAGAAGCTGGCTCAATAGTTTCGATTAATAAATGGCAGTAGTACTTGGATCATTGGTACTCAGTCTCTGTCGCTGGAGGAGAGTTTGGGTGGAGCTCGCCAGACGTGCTGACGCAGACAATCACGTGCAGTCCGCATTACCATCAAGTAAGGGTGTACCACTTGCAACTCTATCACTTAAAAATAAAATAGGTCATTTACTTTCACGTAAAAAGGATTACTTTAGACTGCGCCCAGTACCCCTTTTTTTTCTTCGTAAGCGAGTGTTCTATCTAAGAGACTCTTAATAAAATATTTTGAGATACGTGTTTCGTTTCCGCGAACTTCAGAATAATACCCTACTTACTGATACAAAAACGGCCTTTCTGTTGCTGTAAACTCGAGGGCATATTACAAGAATCTATGATCTGAAATCCACAAAGCCAGTCGTCCCGCAAAAATCGGTCTTTGTGGCTGGATTGTGGCAGTTGCCACATGCGCATTCGCCGCATCTTCTCGTCGTCATGTCTCAGGTGTGTCCTCCATAATAGGAGGCAAAAACGTTCACAGCATCCTTAGGAGGGGGTGGTAGATTTAAATAATTCGGTTGACCCAATTGTGATAAACTCCCGAGCTCGGCGGCTCCAGTGAGCCTCGTAGATCAGATGGGAGAGAGTCAGCCGTACTAAAGCCTTCCCTCGTTGACACCATACCACCGAGGTCGTGCGTTTTTCACAATTGGGTCAATTGCATTTACAGCATTGATCGATGTCGGTCGCCAGTCACCGTAAGTTTATTGCCATCATCGTCCTGAAAAAGGGGAGGTGTGACTTCCGCTTCGGATGGTCTACCGCATAGTAGTATTCTTGGTATTCATTTTGTTCAGGTGAAACTATGCTTAATTTCCTGCAATACAAGAAGAAGCAGGCATACTCTACGCTAAACTAATGGCAGTATGGAAAGAAAACCCGGCTATCTTTGCGCACTACTTTTTTGTCCAATACACTAACAACGAACCAAGTATCAAAATGTAAAACAGAGGTTTAACAAAGATACTAGAATCATATTACATTTTTAAATTATGAAGCAACTTATGGACAGTTCTATATGCCGAACTCGCCCAACCGCATTCATCGATGTGGTACGAAAATTTGTTTGCGGCATTAATACGGAATAGACACTCGCGATGGACTTCGCGGTTAAGTACACCTCTAGAGGACGCGTTGCAGGATTCAAAATCTTTCAAGTAAAGGCTTCTAATGACAGCCAACAGTATTGGAACTGGGAGACCAGTATGAAAGATCAGCCTACATTTTCCTTAATCCTCTACTGACGACATTTTAGGCTATCTTAATTGGTACCACACTGCGACACGACCCCTGAGCCACAAATACGTACCTACGCTTTGAGTGTCCATTATTATTCCATTATTATTCCTGCATATGCATAGTTGAGGAAGTCTTGGCATGGCAACAACCGGAAAACCAGTTGCTATGTCTGTAGTTTAATTTATCATCGAACTACGGAAGGTGAATCACACGGAGACGGCTAATGCGTACTGGAAAGAGCAGCACCAGCACTTGACTGGATAGCCACTTTAAAGGAGGCAACAGTGACAAACGTTATACTGGCGATAGCAGTAGCAGATATTGCTGTCGTCTTGATAGTAGAATTAGTCATGGGCTTAGCATTTTTATGAGTGGCTGCGCTAACAGTTGCAATTTTAGTACTAGCAAGATCAGGAATAATAAGTTTGTGTAGAAACAATGGTACTACTATTAGTCGTAGCAGCGCGGTCATTTGTGTTATCAACAACATCAAGCAGTCGGAGCCATCGTGCAAGCAATAAACAAAGTACCAGCTGCAACAGTTGCCGCAGTAATTTTTTAGGTGTATTAATGGCAACACCATAAGTGGTCATGGCGGCTATGTTACCATGCGCAGTAGTACTATTAGGTGCAGCAATATATTAGCAGCCGTACTAATGGCACGCGTGAAACTATCTATCGCGATTAAACGCTTCCGTCAGTCTAGCTAACAGTCAAGGACATAGAGAACATACTTTAGGGCTTTCGATGATGACAACTGGATTCGGGTCCAAGGCTGGCGTACTCACACCGGTGTCGGCAGGAACCTCGA